TGGGCTTGCACGGGACTGGGCAGGCCAGGGCCAGGTCACCTTTCTTTGGGGACACAGCTCCTGACCCCAGCACCAACACCCCTCTAGCTAAGGAATTCCCAACTGTCCCCCGCCACCTCATTAGCCACCCACTGTCCCCCCAAGTCCTCTCCCTAGCCTCTCCATTGACCCTGCATCCCACATGCCTTTCCCCAGTCCCTGCATTAACATCAGACCCTCCCACCCCAATTGTCCCTGTTAACCCTACATTGACACCCCCATGTCCTCCCATAGCCCCTGCTGTAACCCCCGACCCCTCTGCTCCCCCATGTCCTCCCCCGGTCTCCACCTCAATCCCAGAACTGTTGAGGTTGGAGGGCGACTCTTGGGATCATCCGGACCAACCCAGCTGCTTGTACCCTTGACCCACGTTCCTGGAGAAGATGAATCACTGACCAGCCCTGCACCGTGTCCTCCAACCTCTGCCCTGCCCGTATGGCCAGGACCTTGTCCATGGAGTTTAGTCACTCCAGGACTTGTAACCTGCCACCCTTCTGTTAGCCCCAAATTCAGATTCACCCCAAAGCCCCCCAGTGACCCAGGGATACCCCATTAGTCCTACAGGATATAACCCCACTCAACTTGTCCTTGTTTCCCTCACTTGCCGTGCTACGCACGAGATGCTGTTAAAAACGTCTCTGTAACCTACGGTCTAACTCTTTAACCTTCCTGAAATTCAGGCTGACAGAGCATTTCCTCCTGTTCCCCAGCTACTTGCCTGTCTCCAGGAATGCTGCTATGGAGGAGTCAAGCAAGCATGGTTCTCCTGGGTGTTGGTCCAAAGGCTCACATGGTTTCGTGGTCCTCAGGAAACACCTCCAAACGTGGACGTCATGATCAAGAGACATCTCTGAGACAGCCAGAGCGTGAAGTTGTGTGCTCTGATCAGGCCAGATGATCTGAGCTTTGCTAACAAGGGAGTTGTTTTCCAGGTGGAGGGAGATGTGGTCAGCCAGGAAGGGGATGAAGAGAAGAAAGAGCAAAACCCCATTGGCCAGGCTGGTCTTTAAAGGGATGGTGACATCCCAAAAAAGAGCCACAAGACTCTGAGGGATGCATCCCAGCTGGAGCAGAAGCCATGGACTCGATGGAAAGAGGAGGTGGGGAGAGGAGGACAGGGCAAAAATGGTCCCTCAAGGTGGGCTTGGCCAGACACCAGGCTCAGTCTCCGGCTGCAAGACAGCAACAAGCAAGCACTGATGGCTGCATGGAGGATCGTCCCGAGGACCTCTGCCCATGGTGCTCTACACTGACAGATGGCTGCAGAAAGAGCATAAGGGAGACCCCACACTTTCTGCTAGCCCTGCTCCTCTTGTAAGCTGAGAAGAAAGCTTATCACAGCCACCAGCCTTGCAAGTCACATGGGGATCAGGTGGCGCAAGTGCAAACCTGGTCCCCCATGGGCTCTGATCCTGCTCGGAGGCTGCAGCCTGGCAGCACGACCCACCTGCTCCAGGGTGGGATATTTTTTCTCCCCTGGCTATTTCAGAAACAGCATTTGGCAGTAGGATGAAGCCAGGATACCAAGAGATGGTACCAGAATCTCGGGGAGGGCATCGATGTTCCTCGATTACTTTCACCAGTGAGGAGGAATATGACTAATAAAGGCTCCTTCTTCCCCAAAATACCTTTAGGATGCCCGAGGGATGAGCTCCCTGAGGCAGGAAAGGATGACATGGGATTCCTGGGTGTTTTTGCTGCCTGTGGGCCATGGACAGGTACTGGCAGTTCCTTCCTCCTGCTCCCTGGAGCAACTTGGAGCAGCTCAAACTTGCCAAGTGGGTCATGAACCAGATAATTTTATGAAGCTGCTTGCGCAAAAGAGAAGACAGCCCTGCTCCCCAGCACAGAGATTGTCCGTCTGTCTTTCTCCAGCTGCCTTTGGCTCTCTGGTGGGTCTGGCATCCAGAGGGGAGGACTGGAGAAGCTCTGGTTTCTCCATACCTTGACCCACAAGGATTTTATCCTGTCTTGGATGATCTTGGTATCTCCTTGACCCCTCAGCATTCACATGACCCATGCCCTGATGACGTTTTCCATCAGCTCACAGGTGGCCACCTCCAGACTCCCACAGCCATCGACTGCTCAGAAGTCTTCTGTGTGTCTTTCCCAAAGGCAATCATGATGCCTAATCTAAACCAAAACACTTTGCAACAAGCAGGTTTCTTTTAATTATTTATTAAGAAAAGCAAATTCAAGAGCTCTGAAAAAAAACCTCAATACCAAAACTCTAGTTCCTAAGGAAATGAAAACTCAGATTTCTCTGCTATATCAGTTCGGGTGAGAGTGGTTGAAAATTAAACACTTTCCACAGGAAAAGAATATCAATGCAATTCTCGATTTGACCAAAACTTGAGTTTTTCAACGTGGTTGATGATGTTCAGACAGTTTTCTCCGTTGACTCACAGGGTGACTCATAGGTTAAGAGCAGGTGAATCAACATGGTTTATCATCCAGACTTATCTGGGCCACGTTACTGTAGTATATTGGCATCTTGTTTATTCACACATTGCTGGCAAGACCGCTGCACGTCCAGCAAACTCAAACATGGAAACTCTACGCTGCCTGGTGTAGATGACAAAGGCATTGTGGCAGTTTGCCCAAGTCCAAAGTCAAAGGGCTTCCCTGAGGGACCAGAGTCGGGAGCCGAAGGTTTCGTTACCCACCGCGATGGCTTCACTTGCGGAGGCACAACAGGGAGGGACAAACTGGTCCCATGGAGTCATTTCACCACCGAGGACACAAGTGGGGTGTCTCAGGCCCCTCGACTTTGGGGTGACAGAACTAAAATGAGACTGGTGCCGGAAACAAAACAAAACGCCCATCGGTGAGATCTCTCCACTTCGGCAAGAAAATGAAGAGTGCACTGAGTGGGCTGCACCAGCTGTTCCTGCAGGCAACTGGGAGGGCTGAACATTAAAATTTCAACAGATTTCTTGCCTGAAACTCCAAATATTTCAGGATTTAGCTGAAATACTGGTTGGTTGTGTTTTCCAGCGAGAAAAGATCTCTTCTCTACAGGAAGTAGATACTTTTTATAAATTGGTTTTGACCCACATTTCCAGCCCACTGCACCATTGATATGTTGCCTTACTTACCTTCCAGGTAAAAGATAGGTCTAAATAACAAGATCCTCATTTCTTCCTTAAAGGATCAGATCACAGAATAATAGAAGGTTTGTGTTGGAAGGGACCTTCAAGATTATCTAGTTCCAATCCCCCTGCCATGACTACGGACACCTTTCC